TCAGTTCAGTTCAGTTCAGTTCAGTTCAGTTCAGCTCAGCTCAGCTCAGCTCGACACCAACCCAGTAAGAATACCCTCCTCTACGTATGGCCGTGCGGGATGGCCCAGGAGATTATCCAAAGTCGCTACCCGTCGTGGTGTCGGTACACCCAGTTCCACACTCGAACGGCAACTTGCAGGTCTTACTGTATAACCCGTCAACAACAGCAACAAAATATACTTAGAACGTACATTCAAGATCTCCTCTCTGTAAAGTTTACCGGATAAGAGCTCCCTCTCGCCTCGAAAATAGACGCTATCATAAAGTCTAAATCGGGCCCGAACCAACGGGACAGCTCTCGGAGCCCCGGATTCATCAGGTTGGCTGGTACATTTTGCCCCTTCAACAGGCTGACTACCTAGCACTAATAAGACGAGCTGCTGGTCAGTCTGCGATCCTACAGTAACATACTCCGTACAATGGCTAATAATAATCTACGTGGCAGCGACAAACAAAGGTCGGACATTTTCCTACGTGCCGGGACTGAGCGGAGAAGGGGGCCGTACAATGGCTCCCGGGTCCATGGTAGAGGTACGACAGAGACAATGAAACCTAACAAGCCTGGTGCTTGCAAACGTCTTAGACATTGGCCATCTTGAGACTTTGATCTCAATGTCTACATGTTACGTGGTCTCGTCTCACCACTCACACGGCTCTGACGCCGCCCGCACCGGAACTCATTGTCTCTGCTTTACAGCATGACTGGCCCATGTCGTCACTCTCCGATCTGTCTCAGTGCGCTAGATTCACCCCCTGCAGCTTGTCAGCTCAAGTTTATCCAGCCACTTTTTTGTATAAGCCATACTATGTTCTCAATTGGCGTGCTGAGGGTACCATCAGAACATAGATCCAATCTCAACAAGATGAGTAGTCTACGTGTTGTTGCAGAATACCAGGTTTTATGTTGGTTACTTCGTTTGGCTGCTTGCTTGGGCGACAAAAGTACGGTTGAGGCATCTCATTACTTGTTATTCAAACTCAGTCCCTTTCTCGCAGCTCAACTTTAGTCAACGGAGGGCATAACAAATACTCATCACTGCTCATCGTCTCTGCTTTGTCACGTATTTCTTTAGCATATTCTGTTTGAGTATTGGCGATCGAACCCTAGGTCCTCTTATGGCCCCAACTAAACTCAGTCAGTACATACTGCCCGTGCTTCAGGAACAAAGCATAGACGAACGGCTTGGCATGACCATCCATCTCCATCTCCATGTCTGCTCGGTTCAAAAGACCAGGTGGCTCATCAAGCTCGGCCCGAAGTCTAGTCATCGTTCCCGGCGCTTCAGGTAATAGCCTACCCTCTCCTCGGGACATGTCCATGCGTCGATGTTTGCTCAACCTTCTTCTCTACCAGTGGGTGCTAATTACAGCAACATGAGCCTGGCGCCTCATGCGCGTTGCCTTTTGTTGGGAGCTGAGATAAGTATGGTCTGCAATGAGGGCTGCGTCCTTTGAGTTGTGGTCTTGGGAATTAGTTATAAATAGAAAATATCATGGTGGGCACAATCTCAGAAAGACCAGAGATATAGCTGTGGCTCACTGATACATGGCACGTATTGAAGTGGGACGAAAGTCCCGACAACAAAGTCTATATTTGTGCTCTGATTCTGGTTACTCGAACTGAGCTCGAGATATCTATTTGACCAATGATGGGCTCAATGCTCCTAGTGATGTGGCATAGTCAGTTCGTCATTTCTTCATAGCTGAAGAGTGAGGCTTTCTTCTGGGTACCACCAACACACGCTATCCCGTGACCTGTTCCTCAAAGTTATGTGGTCGAGCCCAATGGTTATCGTTTCGCGTTCAAGCATGCAAGTGATCAGTCTCCTTAGCATGAAACTAGCTGTTGTTGAATCGAGAGTTTGGCTGGTCCGCTGGAAGTCGCCGAAAGAGCTTGGTCAACAAGGCAAGCCGCCTTTTCTCTCACTGCTACAATAGCAGCTAGGATTATTGTGGTAATTCAAGCGCCGAGGCCGATGGACTGGCTGCGGTATGGGTTGCGCTTTGGAAGCCCTCCAAGTGTTCCTGTCGTATTCATTAGAGATTGCGAGCACCGATGGGGGTATCACAATTTTACCTTTAATGTTTCCATACCTACATAAGCGACATACTTCCTTTTCTAAACTGACACCCTCGATGAGGGTTTCGGGGCAGGTGGCCATCAGCTCCCCACGGATGCAGAGCTCGACGATTCGGCTGCTGAGTCGGCAGCACTCCTTGCATTGGACGTTCTCTCCTCGACACATAGCTGCATGAATATTCAGTTTCTATCCATCAGGACACTGGGTTCTTTGAGGGGGACATACTCGCTGGGATAGTATGGTAGTGGTGGTGATTAAGGAGTGGTAGGACAATTACACGGCTATAATGATGATATTTGCAGTGAAGCAAGATGCAATCAACGCAAATATATAGGGACCGAAGAATTGGGTGTTCCTTCCAGTGAATCCAGTGCACTGTATTAAGGAATTCACCTATCGAACAACCAGTGCTCGAGTACTGAACCGTAGTCTTGAGGCCTGCTCTTTGGAGAATGGTTAGGACTACTTGTTCACAAAAGTGGACACAGAACAACACGTTTAATACATTCTGACGGGAGATTATTGTGTGCCTACGGATATTGTTCAGTGTTTCTATTTTCATACTGTTTCAGTCTCTCTAGTGGCATTTGGTGGTCCCCTGAGTTCTTTGTTCAAAATGAAGACAAGGGAATGAAATCGTGAACAACTATGTTTTCGTCCAACTCGGTCACTAGTTGCAGAAACAAAGAAGTCTCATGACATGATCCGCCAGGTTTCTTCAAGGTATTCAGAGGTCGTCGTGTTTAGCTACCGCTGAGTTACCGTAGAGTCCATTCGGAACCGTTACAGACACCAGGACAAATGATAGAAAAGTCATAAGATGTTATTAAGATCTAAAAATGTCTCCGCTCAAGGATTTCATGTAGCTAGCTACCTATCTATTTAATTTCTTCGCCAGGCCCCGGTGATTGTTCCTCGCCAACAACAATCTCGGCTTCACAACTCGTGCCGCTGAGTTTGCGAGATCAATTTGTATGTCAACAAAATGAGAAGCTTGCGAAACATTAAAGGCATCATTTGAATTCATTGCATTGCTTGAACCATTATCTATTATCGATGTCTCGGTTCTTAGTCAGTTTATTGCTAATTCTGCATGAAAGAAATGGGCATAGAGGCCGACTTGGGTATCAATATGGACGTGATATTCAGCTCCGATGCGACATTCTTCAGCGGGAACAACTGGGATGATTATGTCTGTGCTTAAAATTGAAAGCAAATTTCTAGATGTTTCGTGGCGGTTGTAACGTCCTGTCACTGGCAAAGGGTGTCGAGTTTGCTCTTGCAACACTTATTGTGCCTATTGAAAAATGATTCTCAGGCAAACAATAGGTTTATGGCCGCAAAGATCTCAGCCGTAGCAAGCTCTTTCTTTTCTCTTCTCTTCTCTTCTTCCTTCATGTTGGACTTATCCTCCTAACATCAAACAAGTAAATTAACTGTCAAGTCATTCCTTTCTCTTACAAACAATGTGGTCTCGCCCATACACTATGTCGAGGGACTATCTGCTCCCTTTTCTTTCAGCTTGTCTCCTTGTCATACAACTCGGTCTTTCGATCAGCGACCTACCATCTATCGAGCTCATGCAAGATGTTGTATGTAAGCAGTCCCATCGAATCGATGGCCCTGAGCTTCTTCCAGAAGAGAAATGTCGGGATGAGCCGGTGCAGCAACGACTTAACTTCATCATGACGGGGATGCAAATATCCGCCACCATTTCGGGTACGTTTCCATCTCATCTCATACATGTACTTATTGGGGGTTTTTGTTTTGTAAGACTGACAAAACTGTAGCTACCCTAGTTGCGTTCCCCTTGGGTGTTCTCTCAGATCGAATCGGCCGACTTCCTGTACTAGGTGCAAGTATCCTCAGCATGATACTCTCGGAATCATACGCTATGTTTGTATGCTGGAAATCAGATATGATTCCACTCGAAGCAATTTGGTGTGTCGGTGTCGCACTTCTCTTTGGTGGAGGTCGAAGCGTTGCCGAGGCCATGGTATTTGCTATCATTGCAGACACGGTACCCGAATCCAAAAGGCAAGCTTGAATTCAGAGGGCAGATAAACTAATTGCTTACGGCGGTTCCTAGATCATCATGGTTTCAGTGGGTTGTGGCCTCTGTACTTGCTGCTCAGCTCGTAGGCCCTGTACTATCAGGAGAGCTGGTTCAGTCATCAGTATGGATGCCACTATTCTTGTCCTTGGGCTTGGTACTTGGAGGCGGTATCATCCTGGTGAGTTTGACACCAGAGACACTCAAACTAAAGCAGCCTCGAGAGGAGGTAAGCATTGGGCCGTACGACTATGATATGGAGTCGAACATGTTGAGCTTGGAGTCTCCCAAGAGAACATCCGTGATGGGCACTTTCAAGTCCATGCTCTCTAGGCCTCTCATCTGGCTTGTCCCTGGTGCTGTCATGACAATCCCACTAGCAACAGTGCAGACTGATATCGCCATTCGCCTAATGCCCATACAGTTCAACTGGCCTCTCAACCGTTCTATACTTATTGTATCTTTGAGAAGCTTGGTCACACTTCTCACACTATGCATACTGCTACCTGCCATCACATGTATCTGGAGCAAACTCACACAGTCTTCAACTCATCGTAGATGCTTAATTCTAGCTCGGGCGAGTTCGTTGCTATTCTTAGCTGGCTGCCTCTGCATGTCGATGGTAACAAAGCAAGCCTTCATCATTGCAGGCCTAGCCGTGTCGGCACTGGGCTCGGGTCTACCTACGCTCTGCCGCGCCATGTTAGTTGGGATGACAGGGGAGGAGAGGGCCGGGATGCTATTCGGGCTGCTGGCGGTCTGTGAGATCCTGGGTTTTCTCGCTTGTGAGACAAGCATGGGGGCGTTGTTTGGGGTTGGGTTGAAGACGTGGTTGGGGATGCCGTTTTGTCTGGGAACAGCAGTTTCTCTTATCATCAGCCTGGCCACATGGCTAGTCCCCACGAAGCTATTGAACACTGGAGATAGCTGATCAGCTACTGTATCATTGATGCGATGTTGAACAACATACCTCATCTGGAGCCGGCGGCTGACTCCCTTGTATAATCACCACAGCACAGTTACCCTGGAGCATCGCCATTACTAACAGATTCCAACTTTATTAACGTTACACATAAATACACAATAGCTTCTCCACGGCAGCCGCTTTAAAACTCTATGCTTGAGGAGATCATTCTCAAATTGGAAGGTGAGTTATCCATGTCATATGTCTTATCATTACACAACGTCAATGTCGCGGTTTTGCCTGTGACAGCGTTCGTGAACGATAATGGAAGATCGGCAGATATTTTTTTTTTTCTTTGTTGAAGGAAACCAGCTTTGAAGGTGAGACAACTCCAGGCCTTGGTGTTATAAGATTATTTTGCTCAATATAAGCGCCGGAATTGACCATTGCCAGCACACCCTGATCTCACCATATGCAAGATGGACCAGTAAGAAGAGCCTGAATATCTGCAAGTCTCGGATTCTCACGTTTTTCTTTTGCCATCAGTTACATGGTGAAAAGTCAAAATTGATTGGGCTTGGCTTAGACCAAATGCCCCGTCAAAGAATCAGCAGATCAGAGGTAGATGAGACAAGGGAATGCCAGGGTATATGCAATAATACCCAATTATGTTATGTTATGCAACTCTGTCGTGTGTCAACCGTGGCAGATTTCGCCAAATACCATTCGACATTGACTTGGCTCTGTTCAACCTCAATTACTTACTCTGAGGCTCTTACTTCCGAGCTCCGAGATTTGTGTATCTCGTAGACAGACAACGTATAAGAAAGAACGGTCAGCACGTCATACCGCCGACTTGCCAGACGATAGACTTGTCTGTAACGACACCAAGTACACTCAACTGAGCAATTTATAAGACTCTTCTGTACTCAGCTACCTAGAGACTTGAAACTACGCCAAGTACCGGATCTCTTTCTATCTCTCTCTCACTCCCCCCCTATCTCTGAGAAACGGCAGTGAGATGGCGGCCCTAAAAATCGAGACAGAAGAAGCTCTTTGGCGTGTCATTCACACAACACCTATTATTGATCACCATGCCCACCCTCTTCTGAAGCTGAGTGCTATAAGAAAACATCCCCTCCTATGCATCGCTACTGAGGCCAACGGAGACGCTATTGAAGACTCAAAGACAAGTTTGGCACATCTTCGTGCTGTAAAGGTTCTTGCCAACCGCCTAGGCACCGACACAACTTGGGAAGCCGTTGAGGCTGCTGTCGCCAGAAAGCAAAAGGGAAACTATCATGAGTGGATAAAGACGTGCATGTCAGGCATCGAAAATATCTTGGTCGATGATCTTCTGGGCGACCCGGCTGATGTTGAGCCTTACCACACGCTCAATGCCTATACAAGAAGCCCCAACAAGCGCATCCTTCGAATCGAAGAGGTTGCAGCGAGCTGTATCGAGAAGGCCTGTGGCCAATTTTCACACCCTTCAGAGGCATTCTCAGGATCTGTAGAGAATTTCATGAACGCCATCTATGATGCTCTCGATGACCCGGAAATCGTTGGCTTCAAATCTGTTATCTGCTACCGAACAGGCCTCGTTGTCACTCAAGTCACTGATCTCGAGATTATCATGCAGCAGTTCCAGCTCATTTTTGACACCAGGAAAGAAGACGGTGCCCAACCATTCGAGAGACTTGACCACGAGCCACTCAACGATTACTTCCTGCACATCCTGGCGGGCTTGGTCCAGAACAGTGAGGATGAGCACAAGAAACCTATCCAGTTCCACACTGGTCTTGGAGATAACGATATCACACTATCCAAGTCGTCGCCCGCACATCTACAGGAGTTCATCAAAACATACCCAGATGTGCCAATCGTTCTCCTCCATGCCAGCTACCCTTTCACTCGTGAAATGGGATACTTGGCGAACGTTTATAGCAATGTCTACGCTGACATTGGCGAAGTGTTCCCCTTTCTCAGCCGTGAGGGACAAGAAGGTGTAGTCCGACAAATCCTAGAACTCTGTCCAGTATCAAAGATTCTCTGGAGCACCGACGGACATTACTTCCCGGAGACTTACATCATAGCCGTGGATCAGCTCCGGGAGGTGCTGCAGACCGTGCTTGCGGATTATGTTCACAAGGGAGACATGACCTGGACACAGGCAGCTCAGTTTGTTCAAGACATTCTCTTCCACAACGCCAACAAGCTATACGATCTGAAATTAGAGTTCAAGCCATTGCCGCCGGACTCGAGTCAAGGTCTTGAGTCTTCTGAGCAGACGCACGTTACGACGCTGGCCGGATTTCTCAAGAATAAGGAAGAACCGAGATTCTTGCGGGTGACTTGGACTGACTTCATCGCGATGTCCCGAGCGAGAGCAATTCCTATGCGCCGCGTCTGGTCTATGCTGCGAAACGGCGAAGACTTTACACTCGGAGTGACAAAGGCTGGTCTTGGAATCGACCAGAGAGATTCACCAGTGCCTAGCATCACACCAACAGGAGAGTATAGATTGCACCCCGATCTGAGCAGCCTTCGAATTGGTCCTCGTAAAGGGCATATTAGTGTCATGGGCGACTTCAAAGAAAAGGACGGGACACCAGCGCCTTTCTGTACACGCACCCTCCTGAAGAAAACACTCAAGCAGGCAGCTGAACAGGGACTCGAGTTTACGCTAGGATTCGAGATCGAGCTTGTGATTTTCCGCCGCGGCAATAAGAACAAGTTCGAACCACTTTATAGCGATGGACATATGTGGTCGGTCACTCGGGCTCTGGACCATGAAGTAGTGATTGAGGTTCTGGAAGATGCCGTTGAACAGCTCGATGCTGCTGGTGTGTATATTGAGTTGATGCACCCCGAAAGTGCCAATGGGCAGTATGAGTTTGTTCTGCCCAAGGCATCGGCGCTCGAGGCAGTTGATACTCTGCTCTACACCAGAGAAGTCATCAGCAGCTGCGCTGCAGCAAAGGGATACCGCATGACGCTTCATCCTAAGCCATATGCCATGTCATGCGGAACGGCAGCGCATATGCACATGTCTATCTCGTCACCTATCGGATCGGATAAGCAAGTCTACGAACCCTTCTATGCAGGCGTTTTGAAGCATCTCCGAGCCATTGCGGCGTTTACATACAGCAGCATGGTCAGTTACGAACGCGTTGTAGACGGCTGCTGGGCCGGCGGGACTTGGGTAACATGGGGTACCCAGAACCGTGAAGTGCCACTACGTAAGATCGAGGGTAGTCACTGGGAGATCAAGTGCATCGACGGACTTGCTAACCCCTACTTATCTCTTGCGGCGATCCTATTAGCGGGTACAAAGGGCGTTGCTGACGAGGAAGAGCTGGTTTGGAAAGACTGCGCCAAGGACCCTGCAGTGCTGTCTTCGTTGGAGAGAGAAGAGCTCAGCATGAGTGCGAGATTGCCTAGAAGTATACAAGAGGCGCTTGCAGCGCTGGATGAAGACGAAGCGCTGACTGAACTGCTTGGACCCGAAGTTGTTGAGCGATTCATCGATATCAAGAAGGCAGAGACAGCAATTTTGGAGGAGATGGGAGTTGATGAGCGGAGACAGTGGGTGATGGAGCGATACTGAAGCAGACTGACGATGGCCTCGTTGACATTTGATGAAGAGATGGATATTAGTTAATAGATTGAAAACCTTTCATAAATTCACCTTCCCTGTCAGCTGATATATTTGATGCCCAGTGGTACGAAGCTCTGGAAGTAGTGTTCTAACATGGACAGGGCGTTCGCGAAACCCGTAGTCCTGGGTACGGTACCAGGGATTATGCATGGAGCACTTCTGATCAAGCACCAACATCAGCAAATTGAAGATGGAGCTACCTACCTACTAACCTGCTACCTAGGCTACGGCAGAGTGACATGACAGTTCGGCTGCGTGGCAGTGGGGAGGTGGTGGCTTATTTGAGGGGGTTCTCTGCTGGAATGAGGCGGTCGACATACTGTCTATGCGAAACGTACCTAGTTAGGTAGTTAGCTGGCTGGTAGGTTATACGCAACGTCGCTGCATTCCATTCCATTCCCTTCCCTCTGTTGACGTTGGAATGGATGGATAATATAGCAAGGAGCAGTCTCTAACGATTGTGATCCTTGTGCTTATCACGAGAAGTTATCCACAGATTTATGGTGCTGGGCTTGACCTCTGATAGGGTTATGCAAAAAGTCTGGACTCTATGGGATCGTGTCATATCATTTAAAGGTGCCTCTCAAAGTGGATCGTCCGTCCCATGCAAGCAAAAGTTGCTGTCGATCCAGCCTCGAAACTCAGATCTATGTATCCGTATGTACTCCGTAACTTAAGAATAAAGAAAGCTTGGCCGGGGACCCCACTATTATCTCGTTTTTATCCGGGGTCTGAGGTGCTCTTCTTATTCTGCTTCTGCTTGCCATGGAAATTAAACGACGGAGTAGAGAGCCTATCAGAGGCGTAATGTCCGCGGCCAACTTTTCTTCCTTTTTATCTATTTAATCTTGAGATGGGCCAAAGAGTGAACTACATACCTAGTTCCCAAGGGACTAGTTCCGAAAAATGCCCTGACTAAAGACGAGCCTAACAGCGCCGGTCGGGCTGCTTTTTGCGCTATGCTATTCGCAACAGTTCTAGGCACGTTCGGCCGACTCTGCTAGCCGTCCGTTTGACATTTGCCATTGATGACAGTGAATTTGCCATGGAGATGAGTGGATCGGACGTTTCAAACAGAACCCACAGCAACATTCTTTTGACGGAACATGCATATGCTTAATAAGATCCAACGTTGACCGACCAAACTCGCTTACAGATGGCATCCTCAAGCCCTTTCTAGGTTACATACTATGTACTACA